TCCAGACCAATCCTAAGGCCGCGTTCATACCGTGCGACGTCGACGTCAACGTCGACGAAAGCTGCGTAAGCTGCGTAAGTTGCGTAAGCTGCGACTGGTTCGTGAATAATACATACGTATCGATCCAACGAAAGCTGCGTAAGTTGCGTAAGCTGCGTAAGTAAGCTGCGTAAGTTGCGTAACCGACGACAGCTAACCGATCGATACGTATCTATTCTTCTCGAAGTTGTCGTCGGTTACGCAACTTACGCAGCTTACGCAAATTACGCAGCTTACGCAACTTACGCAGCTTACGCAACTTACGCAGCTTACGAACTTACGCAACTTACGCAGCTTTCTTTGGATCGATACGTATGTGTTCTTCAGTCGCAACTTACGCAGCTTACGGGCAAATTACGCACCTACCCGAAAGGACGTCGCACGGGTATGAACGCGGCTAACACAGGATAACTTGGCGCTTTCGCGGTCATCCCCGCGACCATATTGACAATTCATGAAAAAAAGTAAATGAGAATCTCGTGAAAACTAAACTTTTACAAATTTCGTTATAGTTTTACAGGAGTTTACGAACGTGCATTTTAAAACTACCCGACTTTCCAAATATACTGGACAGCACCCGCGTCGAACCCTATCAAATTGACTGTCACCAATTCTTTTTCGCTGTTCGAAAACGACCTGTTTTAATCACAGCCCCAAATTGGTGAGGCTAGCCGGATCAAATTGGAAACGCTCGATTCAGTAATGGGCTTAAGAATGAGAAAAGAAGAAATTTGTGGCCACACAGGCAGACCACCCACACCGGACAGCATCGTTTTGTTATCGATCGAGCCGCACGACCTTTCACTTGGAGCAGGGAATTCGCTTCGTCACCACCTGAATCACTCATTTCTGTAATGAATTTTGCCGGTAAGAGTTCATTCGCTGCTGACCTTAATTACTATCCACGGACACTATGGCCCTTCCATTAACGGCCACTGAGCTTCGTGGTAGTGGAATTCAATTTGTTTTTCAGGTTTGTTATGTTTTTGAAGATTTTTTGGCGGTTTACAATGCACCTATTTCTTTTAAATAGTACTTTCTTCACTAGGAGGATGCTAGTCCCAGCAGAACTAGTCTCTAACAAATCACAGGCATGTCGCGGGTCATTATTTTCCATACGGGACTCAAAACTTGACAGGACCATGAACTGTGCGATTCTGCCTTCAGTCTTCCATTCTTTCCCATTCCTCGCAGAGATTATCGATAATAAATTTGCCTTGTGAGACCATTGTACACAATGACAGGAACTGACCAAATGTCCCTTACCCTTAGCCGACTTGAGCCAAATTACCATTACTTAAATCACTTCTTTTCAACAGAATAGAAGGTAGTAGTGAAAATTGTGGAACACGATGGCTCTCTTGTCTTGTTCTGAAGCGAAAATATCCATTCTTGAATGTCGGTTGCTTCCCGGAGGGCAGAGTGCGTCACTTGACCGCGCGGCGCTCGTTGCTCGCGTTTTAGGCAGCGTTCAGACTTAGCGGGTGGCAGCGTTTTCCCGGGCAGTTTTGAGCTTCTAGCGGGCAATCGCAGAAAAGCTGACGTATGCTGAAAACGCTGGATCCATATCTATATTTTCCTGGTTGCTCAGAGCAGGCTCACGCACAAAACGTTAATCAATTTCCACACCTTGCTGCTGGACGCTGGCGGTCGATACTCATACTTTCCTAGTCGCTCGAAACGCTGAAGGCTGGTGTGCGCTCAGAAAGGTGAAGCAAATGATGGATGCAGTCAGGATGGGATTGACGGTAAGGATAAGAAGTATATATGTGAAATTCAGTTGGCTCCACAATTCATTGTATAGAACTGTGAAGTGAGTGTGAAAGAGAAATGTGACCAACTTAATCACTTCATCTTATCCTCTATTTCTTCTTTGCTTATACTTTATAGTCTTCTATTTCTTCTTTACTTATACTTTATAGTATCTCGGAAGTGTACCTGTGACCGCGGCTTTGCACGAGATGACAGCAGACATGCGACCTCTTGTCGTGAAGTAAGTGTCCTTTGCGAACTTTTCACCATGGATTCATGATTTGTTCTTTTTCAGAGAGCTGTTTTCCGTATTACCCATAATTGGGTTCCTTCTACAGTTTCATCTTTTCAGAGAGTGTATCAATATGGTTGCTGCAGCGATTGGACTTATTCCACCACCTAAACCTAACGCTATTATGAAACCGGTAAGATCTTGTTTTTTTCCTTGTGAAGGGAACGTTCCACAATATCGATGTTTACGCATGATTCGGGGCATAGTGCACGTCCATGGTAAGCGAGTCTCGCGGCATCGCGCGCACTATCCGCAACGTCCCCG